CTAGTTTGGGAAGGAAAATGTCTGCCAATATGGGACCCAGGGGTGAACCCATCGCGGCACCATCTATTTGTCTGTAGATTTCACCATTGAATTTGAAATGTACTTTCATAGTACATTTTAGTAATAATTCTTTGATGATCTCCACAGGGATTGTCGTTTCCAGTTCCTGCTCTCTATGTTGTTCACAAATATATTCTACAGTTTCTCTGAGTGGGACATTTGTGAACAGTGATGCTACGTTAAATAACATCATAGTCTGATCTTTCGTGTTTATGCTTTTAATCTTGTCAACGAACTGGAATACATCCTTAATACTATGTTTCACCAGGCGATTATGCAGTGGTTTCAAAACGGTTACTAACCACTTTGCTACAGTATGATATGGGGAACCGCACATGTCTAAAATTGGTTCTAATAGGATATCCGGTTTATGTATCTTTGACAGTCGGTATAACCTAGGTAAATGCATGCCTATCGGTTTAATTGTTTCGTATACGTCTGTTGGAATCATCTGTTGGTCTCTGAGCTTTTTTTAAAGATCTGGTCAGTTCATTCTCTATCTTATTATTGACATCGTTTTGGTTATTCAGTTTCTGAAATTTTTGAAGATCATTCAAGATGTTATTCATCTTATCAATGTAATCTTTTTTGTTAAGTAAGACAGTTCCTGTTCCTTTATCGGGTTTTGTGATAATCAGATTCTCGTCACTAATGAGTTCATTGATAGCCTCCATGTGTTTCTTAGTTAAAATACTTCTGTAGTTATATCTACTATTCTTAAACTGATATCAACAGTCAACTAGGTTTGATTTGAAACGTTCAAGTTCCTGATCTGAGGTCGGGACTAGATCTGATGTCTGACGATTTAAGTTTTCAAATTGGATGTCCGTATCGATTTGATTTACGCGGTTCCGTGTTTAACAGAATTTTAGACCAAGTGCTAATACTTCAAGTTTTTCTTTATTTAATTCAGTACCGGAAAATTTATTCACATACCTTTTTGGTTCAGTTGGAAATTTATTTTCAACCGGTTGATTTTCAAGGCTTTTGAGAAGTTGAATATGTTTCTTGTTCGAACGTTCCTTAGTTATTTTTGTGACATACTCCATAAACTAGGACTTAAAGTCTTCTGTTAATTCGTCTACTGCAAATCTTCTACGAGCAATGTTTACTTCTATCTCTGTCAAGTCATTATTCAATGTGTCAATTTTATTAATTGAATAGCGTTTTAATGTTTTTCTATTTGGATTACATATATATAACAAACAACAATTCCTGATTCAGAATGGGTTTTGTGGAGAGTTTTAGAAATTTCACAGGTTGAAATCATGAATCAATTGAAGCTAGACCACCATGGGAAACTTGGAAGCACTGGACGGCCGTTTCGTTCTAGTATGGGACTCCTCAGCAGTGCGCATTCACGACCTCGCATACAGCGGGATTCGAACCCAGTACCCACTGGCTTCGCGCACGAGCACTTAACCACTAGACCACTGAGCTGGCATCCAACGGTGTTAATGTCTAACATCAACCAATCAACGAAGTTGCGCCACCGTACACCATTGTCTTCAGTGAGTTGTTATCTCACAACAGACCTGGTTGAACTCTACTGGTAACGGCTTCTTACTAGAACTCCAGGAGTATTTTCCTGAAGTCAGTCACTAGTGAGCAGTTGATTATTATTATCACATATTACAATTTCCAAATGATGTGCTCTCTGCCTTAAATCTGGCCAATTTTATGGTTTATTAATTTAGATTTATAATTGTAGAAGCTGATGAGAAATTCTTTGAAAAGTATATTCTTCGTTCATATAATTGTGTTTTTAATATAATGGGAATTTCTCGGCGATTAAAATCTTGTATTCATAAACAGTTTGTTCTCCCCTCAAATCTACCCTGGTAATATTGACTTATTATCCAGAGTGATTATTTTTCAAATTGTCTTCACATTATCATTAATACACTTATTATTAGCCTTGTCACCTTTTACCATTCATTTCTAGTCTAGTTGACCTTTTAGCTTTTATATATACATGTTCTTAACAAGTATATTAGGTGTGATCAGATTATTCGAAATATATTACGCTAATCTATCATCATATAGTTCTGATCATCTTTATCTTCTTATTACATTATCGAAACTTCTTTAATCCTATACTGATGATATAATTCGATTCATCAATTCGTCATCTAAAATAAGATGAGGTATTGGAGTTTCCAGTTGGATAATTTCAATCATAGTATGACTCTGATGGGTATCTACTAATAAGTTCTGTATGTGAAACGTTGAATGAAATAACATTTAACGAAAATATTCATTAGAATGAAAATGCACAGAGTAAATATTTTGTCAAGAATTGAGTTCATGGGTTAATTGTAGCTAGACCACCATGGAAAATCTGAGAGAACTGAACGGCTGTTTTGTCCCATTGTGGGACTCCTCAGAAGTGCTCAGTCATGGTGGTGTACCTTCAATTGATTCATGATCTCAACTACTGAAACTACTATAATCGCCACAAAGCTCTTCTTATACTAATTATTTTGTCTTGATCCATTTATTTCTTAACTACATTGACTTACCGTTCAAAGAGAGGAGTATGAAACGGATTTCTAGGTCTTGTAGCTAAGGGAATATATTTTGACTTAAAATAATTGAAGTCAACCTCAATTTCAAATAGATTTTGTATCGTACAATATTTGTAAAGCAGGATTTCTTTAAAACCTCGAAAACTTATTTTATTCGAGCATATAAATATTGGACAAAAGCGGCACCGAATAAATATGTGCCACACAAGTCACTTGATTTGAATGTGGTTGTGATACTGCTCGGGTGCCCAGGCCGAAGCAGAAGGTTTTCTTAGGAGGCCTGCGACTTAAGAGTCTGATTCGGAAGACAGTGGGGCAACGTGAGTAGATATCCTCACATGTTAGCCGGTGACTAACGATGAAATCGTACATCTTCTGTTCCCTCAGGATTCTGGGACCTATATACATCATCAGTTTAGAATCAGGGTTTTCCGGCTCTCCAAGGTAAACACGGAGGTTCCACCGAGCCAGTTAATGTACAGAACATTCGCCTTCCGTCGTCTTGATTTCGCAAACAACACCCTGGATACGAGAAGTCAGTGAGTAGGATTTCTTTGGCAATTGATGTGTATGGATGGACATTTAAGAGCATTCTAAGAGAGAAAACTGACTCTCCACACCTTCGGCTGTACCAGGGGATTTGGGTCCAAATTTTAATACTTTTCTGCAAACACAAATGTGTCACAAATATTTCTAGTCAGAAACTACTATAAATATTTTATAAGCATTGATGGATACTGGCTAGCAGTGGAATGGAGGACTCGCGTTCCCTCCTATTTGGGACTCGTCAGCTGGATGTACCTGCATCTCAGAGTTGATGTTCACTTTGGGACTCGAACCCTGTATCATTCGCTTCAAACGCCATCACGTTATCCACTCAGCTACTGAGTCCTGATAGCCACTTGTTTGTGCAATGGGGTGAATTTAAATTCAGTTGGTATTGTTTGGCTTGTATCTTCCCATTGAGGTTTTAAGACTGCAACTGATCAGTCTGTTATTGGCATATGTGCATACTGTGCGTAAGCCTCGATATTACCTTAATTCACAGGCTATTTGTAAGCAATGATGGATAGTGGCTATCAGTGGAATCCAGTTTGACGCGCGTTTCGTCCTAGTTGGGACTCGTCAGTTGGATGTACCTAGGTTCGAGTAAATGAAATATTGTATTTGTACATTCCTAAATGTTTTCTTTTCTTTTCTTTTTCAACAAAACACTTACTTTGCAAGTATTATTACATTTTGAAATTGAAGAAAACCAGCTATGATTCATTGTTTCCAATGAAACATCGAAAACAATCAAACCAGAAAAACATGAGGCAGTTCGATTGAGAACAATTTAATGTAATGGTTAACGCTTTTTGTAGCGAGTTAGTTTCTACGGGATGAGTTCGTTAACCCCATGCCCAACCCTCCTCCTTTATCCGGATTTCGGACCGTCAGTAGAGTCAGGAGGGACTCCAGGAGGAGTTAGTTGAAGTATTGGATTAATCAATTATCCATTTTATAAAGAACAAAATTAATAATTCATGTCTTTATTTCTTACTCGTTACATGAACATGAATGATGCATTACATTTGTGATTATTTAATTGAATATCAGAAAGGTATATGCAATCACAACATTAACGCTAGTTTAGAACTCATCATTATAAATAGAGATTTTTTTCATTTAAAATTTCATATCACGAAATAACTTTGTATAGACAACAGTTGAAAATCAGTTAGTATAAGATAGATGTTTCGTCTTGATTTCATACTGCTCTTTTGTTCATGTACATAACACAACCAGGGGTCGAACCTTTAGCACATAGACGTCTAGTGTTTCACTATTTTAGTATCAGTTCATTTAATCTTTTACACAATCATCATCCTTTCCTTTAAGTGATATTTTGATTCATATTCGACATGGTCAAACTTTACTTAGACTCTACAAATTGATTCCTAAAGTTACCAACTAATAAACAGACCATAACTGTTATGAAAGTGTATCGTTATGTTTACAATGATAGTTACATAATGTTAGTAAACTATGAACAGGGGAACAATAATGTATTAATGTCTTATGATGATTTATTATTGTTCTAGATATTGAAAACAGTGAATAATTTGTAAAATACAAAAAAAAAACAAAAAGAAAAGAGAACCATTCAGAATAATTTCCATTTCTATTCATAATTATGAAACTTTTATTCAATGATTCTTTAACATCTTTGAATATTTCAATAAATGATAAGGATTTCAATGATTCAATGAATAATCAACAATTGAATATTGAACATGTTCATAATGAGACTGTTTTATATAGTACAACTCATAGTGTCAACTATTCAACGACTGAATCAATGATCAATGATATTGAGATAGTGAATACAACAACAATAATGATCAATATAACAGATAATATATAACCATCATGAATGATACTACTAATAATATGACAGTAGATTATCATAAAGAGGATTTAAGAACAATCACTACACATTCTACTATCAATGTAAATTCTAAGAAAATAACAGAATTTGATATGAATTCATGGACATCATTAACATCATTATCAACACCATATATATCACGTATAGAAGATAGTGAAACACACCAAGTTTATAGATCATTCTCAGCATCAGTTGATATAACTCATACAAAAACTGGACAAGCTACATTGAAACATCAACAACTATTAATAAAACATCCAGCTGAAAGAACTGAACATAAAGGATGTAAATTTACATTTTTTCTTGGCCTTTTTATAACTCTTTAATTATGTTTATATGTTGTTGTTATTACATCGATTGATGTTAGTTTAACAACCATAGAAATACTAAGAAGCATTAAGTACACCTTTTGAGACTCCTATTCATTTACATTCATACCCTATTTGTAGTTTGTACTTAGAACTTATGCATTTCGTAATATATGCATTAGTTTTATGTTATTCAGTTGTTCTTCGGTACTCTAGTTAATTACAGTTTTGATTTAAATCATTAGTCAGTTGAAGCTAGACCACCACTGAAAACCTGGAAGCACTGAACGGCCGTTTCGTCCTATTACGGGACTCCTCAGCAGTACGTACCCATGATCCCGCACCCCACGAGATCCGAACCCAGGACCTATCAGTCTCGCGCCAAGCGCTTAACCAACTAGACCACTGAGCGGCTAGTATCCAACGGTGTTAATGTCTAACTTCAACCAATCAACGAAGTTGCGCCACTGTACACAATTGTCTTTAGTGAGTTGATATCTCACAACAGACCTGGTTGAACTCCACAGGTAACGGCTTCTCACTAGAACTCCAGAAGTATCTCTTGAAGTCAGTCACTATTGAGTAGATGATTATTATCTGGAGGGGTTTTGTGGAGATTCTATCATACAAGATTCATTTCCATAATATTATAAATTGCTTAGTAAACATCAACTCATTCATTCATTCATTCAATAATCAATAACCCTTCAATATTCTCTCTTTATCACTTTTTATTTGTCATCAAAAAATTGTTTTTGCCCATTTTGTTTATATTTTTCTTTATTAAAATAAAAGAACAAACATTTTCTATAACACATTTTTTTCTTTAGATAATTTGTTTACATTTCATGGCATTGTCTCTCATTCCCTCTTTCTCTCTCTCTCTCTCACTCTCGCTCTTTCCCTCCATCTCACTCTCCTTTGATCTTTCTCTCTATCTCTCTTTCCCTTTCCCTCTCCCTCTCTCTCTCTCTCCATTTATCTTTCCTTCTCTCCCTCCCCACTTTCTCTTTCTCTCTCTCGCTCTCACCGTGTCTCACCCATTTACTCTCTTTTGTTTCTTGTACTAATAACAACGATTTATTTTTTTTCTTCTTATTTTTTTTCTATGGTGTCTACCATGAGTTTATGCATGAACATTGGGCTGAAATAAATTTTTCTTCAAATAAATAATAACAATAATTAAGCTTTTAGTGGATGAGAGAGAGAAAAAGAATTCATTGATTTATTGATTATATATGACTACTTTTTTTGGATTTTTGATGATAGTAGTGAGTAGTAAAAAGTTGGGATATATGTGTTTTATCCTATTTCAGGATTCATTCAATGACTACATACTTATGGATATATACTTCATTATGTTGATGTATGTAATTAGACTTAGTTTGTATGTCATAGCAATTAGTGTAAGTGGCTAAATTGCATCAGTACTCATAATACGGATCAATATTAGACCACCATTAAAAGCCTGGAAGAATCATACGATCGATTCGTTAATATAGGACTCTTTGGTAGCTTGCATCTATGATTTTGCGACTAGGGATTTCAGTCTCGCACGTGAACTCCTAGTTTCTTAACCAGTGAGTCTCCATACAAAGTTATTAATGTTGAACCTCAATCAATACGAGACATTGTGCAATCATCTTTTAATGTCTCCAGTCGTTAACTGCCTTATATGTCATATGGTTGAATTCCAGTGGTCATGGCTGAGGAGAAAAAGCTGCCCAGTGCTTTCAGATTTAGCTCATGATTCAAATGTGATGTTTTATTTATCAAGAAACTATAAACAGTACAAACATCTTTCAAAAATGAGTTCTGAAATTTCTTGCGTCTGTGGGCTTTCATCAAACTTAGACACATGATTAAAATACAGTAAATCAGTGTAGAACTTGTTGAAGTTTGAAAAGGTCAGTAATGTATTCGATTCTCACAATGAATATCAATACTAGGATATAGTTACATCCAGTTGACAGGGTCCAAATAAGACGAAACATTCATTCTGAACCTAACGGATATACACAGAACATGAACAGAACATGGATGGGGACAATCGAATGTATTTAAGCACAAAATTACAGAGCATCTTAATGAAACCTAATAATCAAGTAGTAAATGCTTAATTTGCAAAATCTCCACCAATTGTCTCCAAAATGACTCAGACTTCATTGTTCTTGCATTTTCATACAAATTGCATTGTGTTTCCATTGTTTACTGTTTGATCCTCTTTGTCTCTCTGCTGTCAGATCTTCTGTTAACGCCTAACATCATCTACTACTTATATCAATATAAGTAGCATACACCACAGTACTAACTAACTGGAACTTCTGATATATATATAATCGATTTTAACATAATTTGTTCATTCATTTATTGTTTTTCCATTGGTTTCTTTTCATTATATAATGTATCATTCATATTTTATCTAAATTCAAGTGTCCTATGGTGGTATCGTCAGTCTTTCTATACTGGGGGTCACTTTTGGTTTATTATTACTAATTTGGTTTTGTAAACGTTGTTTATTGAAAAAACGTCGATCAAAAAAAGATGGTAAAAAAAATGTCATTAGCTGGTGGAAAATTAGCCACGGATTTAAAAACAGCAGCTCATTTATCAGAAGCATTAAAAAGTCAAGTAGGTTTGACGCTTATTTTGTGTTTAACCTTTTTCATGATTATTAAATAATATACTTGTAGGCTGCATTCTCCCTTGATTAGTGTTAGCTTACGATACCGTTGAGAAGCAGAAAGTAACAGAAAGCCGTTTTGTTCTAGTAAGATATTCTTCAATAATAGACAATTACCACTCTTCCAGAATAGTACCCAGAACCTTCAGTTCTAAATGCAGAGGTTTAACTACTAAAACTAATAGGTCAACAGTTGGTAGTATTATTCCAACTAGAATTACTTCAAATTATGGTTGTGCAGTCATTAGTACCATTTGTTACTACTGTTTGAGACTGCATGAGTTTGACCCGGTAGCTGTCGGTTGTCACTTCTCAGTACATATAACACATCATAATCCGATAATGAAGACTGTTTCTTACTTTGAAACTGTTTAGTCTGTTAATCGAATATAAATGAAAATTCACTTATTGATCTAAAAAGCCAAATAAATGTTCATAGGTAATTGTTGTGAATGAATAAAACTGTGATGAAACAAATGTGCACTGTATGAAGTGATGAAAGAACTGCAATCACTGTGACAATCATAAAAGAGTTAATTTTCAAGTGAACGATGAATGTTCACTTTTATTGAAACTATGATTACTATCGGTAATCGGGTGATGTAATCATAACATCACTACTAGGTCTTTTTCTTGCAAAATATCAGAATGAGACACTCCCCGAGCTCCCAATTTTGGGGAAATTTTGTGGATGCCGCTATAGTGAACTTCCCCAGGCCTGAGGAAATTCCCCAATATTTCCCCAAAATTTCCTCAAACACTGGTGAAGGTCATTTCACTTCGGGAGTTTCCCCAAGATACCTAAAAATTCCCCGAAATTCCCCCAAACTTGGGAGCTCGAGGCGGTGTTTATTATGGAGTTTATGTGATTAATTTCTATGTATACTTCATATAAATTTTCCATCTAATCTTCTTTTTAGTACGATAACATGATTGACGAATAAATCTTTTATAAAGGTAATGAAAATTCGAGCAAGTTGACTATGTGTTCGACCCGAACTCCCAAGTTTAGGGAAATTTTGGGGAAACTCTTGAAGTCAAATGACCTTCAACAATGTTGGGGGAAACTTTGGTGTAGTCCCCAAAGTCAAATGACCTTGACAAAGGTTAAAGAGGAATTTTGGGGAAATATTGGGGAATTTCCTGAGATCTGGGGAAATTTTTGGGTTTTTGTACCATTTCCCAAAAGTTCACTATAGTGGCTTCCCCAAAATGAGTCGAATATTTCCCCAAAAGTGAGACTTGACAAGAATCATAAATCATCATCCTGAAGTAATTCACTGCTACGACGGACAAACATAAATACATGAATTCTTACTTATATACTCCTGCCCGACCTCCCAATTTGGGGGAAAATTTGACTCATTTTAAGGAAATTTCCCCAGACCTGGGGAAATTCCCCAATATTTCGCCAAAATTCCTCTTTAACCTTGGTCAAGCTCATCTGACTTTGGGGATTCCCCTCAAAATTTCCCTAGAATTCCCCGAAATTTCCCCAAACATTGTTGAAGGTCATTTGACTTCGGGAGTTTCCCTAAAATACCCCGCAAAATATCCCCAAAGTTCCCCAAACTTGGGAGCTCGAGTGGTTAAGTTTGACTGTTTGTACATGCCTTACAATTCGTTTTAGATCACACCTTAATAAATTAGTATTTGTTCTGACAATTCAACTGATTGAAAGAATTGAATGTCTGTAATTCACTTGGTGAAATAATCCATTAGGAGGAGTTTAAATACCAAATAATAACTGACTGAGTGTATGAACACGATAATATGTGAAGAATTTGAATTGGTCACTTTAAAAGAAAAAAAGGAAATGAAGGTCAAAAAATTGTTAATGATTTGTTTACTTTATGTGAATACTGTTGAAATGTCTATTAAAGTGATTGGTGTGCAGATTTATGATAGATATATTCAAAGCTACATGATAAACTGATAATGAATACAGAACTATAGAAAAGATGGATCGTGGTCAGCAGTAGAATACACGATGAGCGTTTCATCCTATTTGGGACTTGTCATCTGGATGTTCATGCATCTCAGAATTCATGCTCACAATGGGAGTCGAATCCAGTATCGTTAGTTTCAAATGCCATCGCGTTATCCACTTAGCTACTGAGTGCTGATAGCAACCCGTTTGTGCATTGGGGTGAAGTGTAAATTCTATTGGTGTTACTTGCTTGTGTCTTCCCATTGATGTTTAGGACTGCAGATGATCAATCTGTTGTTCCGCTGCAGGTACATTCAAATGACGAGTTACAAGTATGACGGATTTACAGAACTATGAAAGTTGTCAACAACAGTAATTCACAGTAATTGGTCGCTAATCTGAACTATATCTACAATTGTAGACTTCCTTGATATGATTCAATGAATAGAAAATTTAAGTAACCGGGCATAAAACGGACTGTTTTGATACATTTGCCAGTATTCTTTATCTTGCAACTACTCTTTATATTCTTGTTAAAGTGAAGTGTATAATGAAATGCCTTTTATTTCACAATCAGGATAAGGTTGCATTGAAAACCGACATGGAAATGAATGAACAAGAACAAGCGGGTGATCATGAAAAGGAGAAACAATATTTTGGAAAATTACAATTTTCATTAGATTATGATTTTCAAAAAGCTGAGGTATGAGTAAAACTTTATGTTTATATAATTTCGATTGAGTGTATGTACATAAATATGCATAGTGTGAGCAATGAACATAGAAACTATGACATTCTTATGCAAATTGAGCAAAAACTCTTAAGAATTTCATAAAAGTGATGATTTGAAAGACTCTCCTGGTCTCCCACATTGTACGAGTATTTCCTGTACCTAAATAAATGGTTGCTCTGGTTGTCTGAAGGACATCGGCCTCGTAACTTCCGAAGGAATTCGGCCTTCATCATGAGGCGTCATAATTCTTCTAAATGAAGACCTTTTAACTCCTAGGGCAGAGTTAAAATAGTTTGATTATTTTTTCTGGTAAGCGTTTTTAGCGAGTTATTTTTTTACTGGATGGTGTAGCTAACCCCATGCCAACCCTCCTCCTTTATCCGGCTTGAGACCGGCAGTAGCCCTTGGAGGGACTCCAGGCGGAGTCATGAAAAGTATGCAGAAAACCATTATACATTCTCAGCCAAATTATGCCAGCTTATGGACAGACAAGTGATTTTAATCTTTTAGATTATTATTTACATCTCCATATATTTGCCTTCTTTTTTCACCTTTAATTTTGAATGTTTACATACTCATTGTTTAATCTATGCATTGTCTACCGTTAGCTCGTTTAATGATTATAAATCTTCAACTAGTCTTAGTTAAAATGAGTTAGCTGTGATGCCGTTCTTTTTCTATGTTTGTTGTCGTCTGACTTCATAAACATACGTTTAAGTTATGCTATCCCAAAACACGTGGATCAATTGAAGTTGGATATTGACACCGTTAGATGTCGGCTCACGGATCTAGAGGTTGAGCGTTCGCACACGAAACCGAAGCCGCCGGATCAGAGTCCCACGTTTGCCATCGTTGGTGAGCACTGCTGAGGAGTCGCGTACAAAGATGAAACGGTCGTCCAGTTCTTTCAGGTGAAAAAGGTGACCTTGTCTAGACCGACTCACGAATTCAATCATTAAAATTACTTTCGTATTCGAATTCTTATTTCCTGTCGACACTAACAAGAACAGTCAATAGAATATTTATGAAGTACATGCGACCTATTTCAGTATTATTGTCTACTGGAGTAAACAAAAAAGTCAACAGTGACTTCAGACAGTGCATTTCGAAGAATGTTAATAGACCTTTTTAATTACCAAAAATTGGTGGGTGACCAGAATGATCACCTAATTTTGTTGACAAGTATGTCGAATTTATTTGACATCATATGTTTCTTAAACGAAGCAAAATTACATGAATAGGCTGTTGAACATTTGGTCTACCTGCTTCTGTCCTTTATATATCTCAATATGTTGTTCGTTTCCGCTTGTTTTAACAAATCATTGTTTATTAATCGCACAACCTCTTAAGATGTGTTTATGAAAAGTCTTCCGCTGTACGAGTTACAAAAATGCATAATCACAGACATCGTGATTGGTGACAATAGGCAGCGGAAACAGTGTACATAATTCAGATATCGGTTCCTGGATTACCAGATTCTAGCTGATGACCAATCACCAAACGAGAAATGACGTTCAGTAGTGAAGGCTAGTGAATCAACTTGATTTAATCAAGCGTGAATCAATATTTAAAGTCAGATAGATATAAGTGATAGACATGTAATGAATAGAATAAGAAGTGAATAAATATATGCTCATTTAAAAACAGTCAACTTTGATAAGCGAATAATTCACAAGGTCAAAAAATGTGATTTGAGAGGAATGGATAAATTTTTCTGTCCAGAAGTGAGAATAAGTTGTGTAGGCTTAACATGGTGATTGACACAAAGAGGTTATGGAAAACTTCAGACGATTAAATTAAAGGATTTAAATGAACATGCCACTGTTTTACTGAATACTCACACACTAAATAAACATAAACATAAGAAGCGCTGAATAAAATACACTTATTGAACATGAAAAACATTTCAAACAATCTTAAACTGTTCAGCCCCCAAATGCCCTGGTACGGCCGAGAGTGAGGAGAGTTCAATCTTCCTCTCGAAACGCTCTCACATGGCCAAGCGTATATAGCCTCTGACAGGGAAGTCCTACTCACTGCCTTCTCGTGGCATTACTGCTGTTTACGAAATTAAGAGGACGAGAGGCGAATGTCTAGCGCTTTAACCGGTTTGGTGGACATGGACAGTCCCCCTAGGGGAGTTGGACAACCCTCATTCCAAACCAATGGTGCACAGAGCTCCAGGATCCTGAAGGAACAAATGGCGTATGAACCTATCGTTGGTCACCGACTACCATGGGAATGCATCTCCTTACGTTTCTCCACTGCCTTGTGGATCAGACCTTAAGGTCGAAGCCCCCGGGTGTAGCCCCATGGTTGAATTACTACACTTTCTACAAACTCTCATTCCGACAATAACTGTCATGTTGTACTCATTAGTGACTGGAGTTCTAGTGAGTAGACACAATCAATGTAGTCGAATCATGTCTGCTATGAGGCACTCAATCATTGAAGACAATAGTGGACGGTCGCACAATATCGTGGAATGGTTGAAGTTAGATATTAACACTGTTAGATACAAGCTCAATGGCTTATAGACTAAGCAATTGCGTACAAGACCAAAAGTCCTGGATTCGAACCCCATGCGCATTACTGTCGATGTGTATTGCTGAGGAGTTCCATACTAGGAACAAATGGTCATCTAGCTTTATTCGACTCATGAATTCAAATAATCTACCATTAATGACTATTATTCAAGGTGTTTTTTACATTATTCAGTTAACAGTTGGTGTAATTCAAGCTAATGATTTACCAGCTATGGATATGTGTGGTACTTCTGATCCTTATGTAAAAGTTACTTTATTACCGGATAAAAAGAAAAAATATGAAACAAAAGTACATCGGAAAATTTTAAATCCTATATTTAATGAAACATTTATTTTCAAGGTAAGTAAGATCAACCATTTTATTTTAATTGAATACAGATTGAGTAGGACTTCCCTGACAGAGTCTATATACACGTTGCCATGCGAGAGCATTTGGAGGGAGAGCGGACTCTCCTCACTCTCGGTCGGACCAGGGCATTCGGGGACACTAGCCCATGTACTTCAGTCTTGCAATTTATATATACAAATGAATCATAAATATCAAATTTATCGGGTTGTCACGTCTCTTATATTAGAATACGGGAAGTACGTTTCATCCTATTTGAGACTCATTAGCTGGACACAATTGAATCCTAATACTGATGAATACAGCTAAACTTCCATCATCGAATGTCAAACTACGTATTTACTTAGACACTCACAATTGATTGACCGCTGGGTGGTGATCAATGTCATGTGTGTCAAGTCCTTATTTATTGCAGATCGAATGCTATCGACCATGTTACAATGTGGCCACCAGTCTAGGTGGTTACGTCTTTGACTGTGAAACTGTGTGGCATGGGGTCGAATCCGTCAGGGAGCACCAGTTCCCTCAAGACTACAGGTACACCTTGCTGACGAGCGCCAAGTAATACGAAACCCGTGTCCAGGGTTTCCTGTCGACTACCTCCAACCACCATCTAATCTCAACATATAATGCACGCAGTGTCGAGTCACCTAGACTGGTGGCCACATTGCTATATGGTCGATAGTATTCGATCTGCACTTAGCTACTCAGTTTAGACTTGTTCAAACTTGTATTATGAAGTCAAAAGCTTAGAACGTTCAGATGTTAAAAGAGACTGATCAGTTGCTGTGTTTGACAACAACAACAACAGAGTGATACAATTGCTTGCGAACATTGTTGCATCGAGTTGTATGAACGAACCAAATACTTAAATGCGTCAAAGATTTAATGTATTCATTATCCTCAGATGTAATAACCTCAAAAATATTTATTATTAACACATTATCAAATATGTGTAGGAAGAATACTTTATGTAGGAAGGAGAGTGAAAATTCAAGTATGCAGTAAGGTTGATCATGCTGACCAAATATTAAGTTACAACAGCCTAAATCAAACGGTTCATAAGATGAGGTTTGTGAAAGATGCGTTACGCGTCAACCAAAACTCATTGCATCGTTTTCAATATACAAAAGGTTAAGGTGACTCATCTCGTATCCGTCACGTGTAAGAATGTCTATTGGAACAAATTCATAAAATGGATTTTAGCAAATAGGCAAACTGTCATACAATCAACAGGCTGAAACAAGATATTTCTTCATCATATAAGATACGTGACAGAATTCACTTTGGAATCAGCATTACTGAAAAAACCAAAAAAATTGTACCAGTTTTTGCAAAGCGAAAGGCTTAATAGCGAATAAATACAAAACAACTCATGTAATCCTCAAGAAGTACTACAATGTTCAAGATGGATACTTCTTTGATAAACAGATACACAGACATTGGTTATCAATGGATATAAACAATGTACCGTCAATTATATTAATCGATGTTGACAAGTACGAACAGAACTGTGGTTCGAATAAATTCTAAGAATTTTATATAGTTTCATAAAGCATAGCACGTCATTCAACTCGCAATCATGAATCCCATGAATATAGATCAAGATTACCAATCCACTAGGTAAATATCAAGCACTCACACAGTCAGTGGTCATCACAACAGTTGACTGGTATAGGAAGACGCATAAAGATTGTAATAACTGAGAAGATAACGAGTTAGAAATAAGGTTATGAAAATGAATTGATGAGATGTATGTTGAATGAAAGGTTAGCCCACTCAACTTTAAGTGAGATAGTACGCCGAAGGAAACCTCGATATCACAACATGTGGACAAGTAAGATCTGTCGTTAAAACCGATCACCTTTATTTTATGATGCATGAATTCATCAGCAATGTGAATGTTCCATCTTTAAACAAGTGATACTATCCTCATATATTCGAACTCATATCATCTAGTGTGGTAGTGAGGGAAATCACTTCATAACTATGGTTGTACTTCTGACAATTGCTTATCACTATATGTGTTGTATTCTGAGATATAATTCGCTTATTATATACGCTTTCTGTGGTATACCAATATGGGGAAACTGGAATGAGTAAAAGTGTTTAGCTACCAAATTGAGTTCTAATGTACAAAAATTGTGACCCGAACTAGTCAATAGGCGCATGACCAACTTCATTCAGTATATCCCAATCACAATAATTTCTCAGTTACCATTGTTCAGATGATTCTGTATACATTCAAGCTTGAAGACATGAACTGAAACTAATATTTTGTCATTTGATTTCTTCGTAGATTCCTTATGCTGAAATCAGTTCAAAAACGATTTTGTTTACTGTTTATGATTTCGATCGATTTTCCAAACATGATCAGATTGGACAAATCAAAGTACCATTGAGTACTGTAGATTTATGCAATGTAATTGAAGAATGGCGTGACTTAAGTCCTCCAGAAGGGGAAGGTGAAAAGGTTAGTTAGAATGATGACACTGGCTTTTTATTAGGAAAGAAATCAACTGAGACGCTTCATAGTAAATGTTTGTCATCACGCCGAGCCAATGTGTACTTGTTCTAAGTAGTTACTTCATGGAAAGAAAACTCCATACATGAGAATTTCAGATTGTTTAGGTAGCATTTCAGATCTGTTCACCTAAATTTGTGTTGGAATAACAAATCGAGATGGTCTGACTCACTGATATAGGCTAACTAGCTTGAAACCTATGTTTAGGTTTTATTTTTGTCTAACTTAAGTCATCTAACATCAGAAAATGGCACACATGTTGGAATGTAGGTCATCTCATGATTTGATTTATGATCTGGTCCCTTGGCTCAACGTGGTTCCGTCCTACGTCTGCAGCGTTTTCTGGTTCGCACTACTACGAATGCAATCCTCAGATCCTGGATACGAACCACTCTGGTGTGGTACGCTAACTCGAGGAGCAAATACATCACGTTTCTCTTGGTACCGTCCTACGTAAAAGGCCTTCGGTGGCAACTCCAGGATCAACGATCGCTTCCTGTTTGCCAACACTTTCGTCTTACAATCGCACGTTTGCTGATCAGTCCCATGAACGAAACCGCTACTTATCGAAAGTGTAAACTCATTCTAGCGGGGGATCCTGTAGTGACCTACTTTTATCAAGAGAACGCGATTGGTTTAATGGAAACAATTATTATTATAGCCAATTGTACCAGTGATTGCTTTACTGTACTTGTTTGTTTAACTGTACTAAAGACATCTACTATTCTTCCATTCTTCCTTTCGTTGATTGTGACCTTGCACGCACTTACGTTTGCTCAGTGTTTCCGCTTGTACTCCTTTGGCACGATCTCGGTATTCTTTCGATACCACGGGATCGCCAACAAAGATATCTCGTTACAACCTCCAATTGCCTTCTGATATCTGGTACGCAACCTTCTTGTATTGGTGATTATAGTCAACCACGATTCGATGCCACGCTACAGGTATACATTAACAGATCAGTTTGATATTCATCATCGCTCTGTAATGAATTAATACTTATCAATAGATTTATCCAAATGTTACAAATGGCTGTCTATTTTATGTAAATTGAACAAATTGATTGATTCATTCATTCCGACGAATTGCTTCGTAATAAACTTTGTCAATTTATGATCAAACATCAATCGTTAAACGGATAACTTTGTATAACTTTGTGTGATAAGGAAGCATCTCGATAATCAAAACATAAAAGTTATTTCCAGTCAAATAATCGGAAAATGTTATATCATCACATCATATTAAGAATTCACTTTATCAGTCTCGCGCCAGGTGCTTAACCAACTAGACCATTGAGCCGGCAACAACGGTCTTAATGTCTAACTTCAACTAATCCTCGAAATTGAGCGACACATCCACCATTGTATCAGTGAGTTAGTACCTCACAACTGACCCGGTTGAACTCCACTGGTCACTGCTTCTCACTAGAACTCCATGATATATCTTTTGAAGCCGGACTCTTGGGGCGAGACTGATAGGTCCTCGGTTCGAATCCTGCGAGGCGAGGTCGTGGATGCGCACTGATGAGGAGTCCCGCAATAGGACAAAACGGCCGTCTAGTGCCTTCAGGTTTTCCATGCTAGTTAAGCTTTAATTGACTCATGATCTCAACTGTTGAAATTCACTTTATAATTGCTTCTTCACATGAAGTTAGCCTTTATATATGAAAAACATTTTTCAATATCCTTCTAGTGTTAAAAAATGAATAGTAATGATTATGCATCATGTCAAATGGATCTTGTTCCACATATTTACCGTTAGATTCCTTACATCCTTATGGAATTATATTTCAAGGAATTTTCCTACTAGAACTGAAACATCGACTAATTACTTCTTATTATTCTAGTAATTGTCTAACTTATTGTGTTAAATGTCTAATCTCAATTTATTTTTGTATTTCTTACTTCAAAAAGGAAAATCGTCTAGGTGATATCTGCTTCTCATTGCGTTATGTTCCAACATCTGGTCGATTAAATGTGAATATATTAGAAGCTAAAAATTTGAAAAAAATGGATGTCGGTGGACTTTCAGGTAATTTACTGAGTGAATTAGTTGTTATAAGTAGTATGTATGAATGTTTTCCAATTATATGATATATAATTCTTATAGTCAATGTAATCATAAGTAATCATTATAATAGAATTGGAATACGGATTTCATCATTGATGTACAATTTATTGTGAGAATTGAGGTTTGTGGATATTACAGTAATTTTTTAGTATGGGACTCCTCAACAGTGCGCATTCGCGATCCCGCACTCCATGAGATTCGAACCCAGGACCCAAGCGCTTAACCAACTAGACCACTAAACCGGCATCCAATGGTGTTAATGTTAACTTCAACCAACCAACGAAGTTGCGCCACCGTACACCATTGTGTTCAGTGAGTTGATTTCTCATAACAGACCTGGTTGAACTCCACTGGTAACGGTTCTCATTAGAATTCCAGAAGTATCTCTTGAAGTCAGTCATTAGTGAGCAGATGATTATCATCAGAAGGGGTTTTGTGGAGGTTTTAGAAATTTCACTGATTGAAACCATTAGTCAATTGAAGCTACACCACCATTGAAAACCTGGAAGCATTGGACGACCGTTTCGTTTTAGTACGGGACTCCTCAACAGTGCGCATCCACGATCCCGCATCCACGAGATTTGAACTGAAGAACTAACAGTTTCGCACCAGAAGCTTAATCAACTAGACCACTGAGCCGGCATTCAAAGGTTTTAATGTCTAATTCATATCATTTGAGACTGTTGTAAGATCCACTTAAACCACTTTAGTTTTATGTGAGTTTCCAGAAGTCTTAGTAATTCTTTATTCATTGTGTAACATATCATCCATTGTTTTTTTGGAACTTTGTGGAAAATTACTGTTGAAGGTTAATTGATCGAAATGTCTTCGATTTTCCTTCCATCTTTTAAATAATTCTAGAAGGCTTAGAACTATGGTTAGAGACCCTGAATAACATGGCTAAAAATTGTTTGCAATGGAGCAGCTGCATCCACTCTTTGTGCTCTAACAAATTCTAAACTCCTGAATCCTCTTCTTTATTTCTCTTCACGAATTTATTTCACTGGATTATACTCTTTACATCACATCTTCAAACGCTAATTTTCCCGATTACTGCTTATACTTATACTACTACTTATAGTACTTTACTTACTTTGAATCGACAACTGCATGTCCCTTCTAATGTGGTGTGGCAACTCGAACTGATGTACGTAGGTATGAGGTTCTACGTTGTTACTGACTGACTGAGAACTATCGTTTTAGAACCAAAAATAGTTGCGAATATTAATATTATCTTAACGAGTCTATTGAAATCTTATATGTAGTCTATAAACGCAATTTCTATCACTCAGTGATGACTTGAAGCTCCTAATAATATGTACTTGAAATGTCAGACTACACAGTAATACAGTCAAGGAATTACAATATACATACAACTCAGTCAACGTGATTAAAACCAGAGTAATTGGAAAATAGTTAATGAATGATCAATTTAGAATAACAATACTTATGACAACAATTTATGAATCAAACTAAAGATTAGAAATAGGGAATATAAGTGTATGGCGAGACTCTAATTTGTTGACGACCTTTGAACGAATCTCAAGCGACCTTGAGAAATATTAGTCAATTAGCAAACAGTCAGTATTATTATACAAAGCCAAATGGATGAGAGGCTTTCGCGTTAAAGTCCGAGATCTATTATGTTATACCTGATTGATTCGTTAACAAATTATAGTTACGCTATTTTATTCGTTATAGACGCTCAATTATCACGTTTTGTACAAAATTCCCTGTGAAACGATCGTATGTTGGCATTAAGTACTGAAGTTGGCACAGTAACCTTGAAATCTCTAAAACGCCTCTGAATGACTTGTCCATAAATTAGAGTCTCGCTGTTTGTTCTTTTATATTCTTTCCTGTGACTAAATTTGAAATGAAGAGACAATCAGAAGTAGACGAAAGTCAATTGATGACAATCGGTAATGACCTAAAGGTGAAATGCACTTCATTGAGGTCATTTGGTCAATTTCCTAAGGCTAGACTAGTATATATACATATATATTAATGCCTATTTGTGTATTTCATTCATTAGCCCATAATACTTTTCTCGCTCATGTAATCAGTTTTGTAGGTCATCGTATAGCATATTATGCATCAGTATCTGAATTCGAACACTATACGTCGCATAAAATTTATGTTTTAAAGAAACCTGTTTTATAATGTATCCATCTTGTATATTTCGTTTCAGGGTTCTAGCATCAATGATTGTCTGAATTTAATAATTTTTTGATTGAGATGATGAACTGATTGATGTTAGACCATCAATGAAAACCTGGAAGCACTGGACGGCCGTTTTGTCCTATTGTGGGACTCCTCATCAGTGCGCATCAACGACACCGCTCGTGAGGTCGTGGATAATGTTGTTTGACTTTATTTTAAACATTTATTTAATGAAAATGGTTCTCAAGGTTTGAACTCCTTCTAAAAGATTCATCTATCAATATACACTATTCAGACGACATAGTTATGTTTATCGAAGTTATTGAGCAATGACACAAAGATGTTTGTAAACTGTTTCTTATTGTGACAACCATTGAAGTTTCTTTATGAATTTTCTTATTGCTATTCTTCTCTTCTCTTCCTTTTAGATCCCTATGTGAAACTTTCATTAATGTTTAATGGTAAACGTATTAAAAAAAGAAGACAACAATTAAGAAATACACATTAAATCCTTATTACAATGAATCGTTTGCATTTGATGTACCATTTGATCAAATACAAGTAAGTTAATGATTTGTATACATCTAGTTGTAGTTTAATTTAATGCTTGAATCCATGGGCTAGACTGTCGTGGACAATCTAGAACGATTCGATGGCCGTTTCGTCCAAGTATAGAACGTCTCGGTTTAACTCTCTATTTTGACAAATCAGCTGATCAAGTTATTAGTACCGTGGTTTACCACGATACGTGGGTTCGATTAACTAATAGTAAGCTAGAAAAAAGTTGAGACAACAAAAATAAGACTCCTTTGTATGAATCTTGCATTTCCGATGTAGCATGTTAACATGGGCCAATGTACAGTTTTACTAGGTTTCATGCCGATTTTAAAATCACATAATCTGTTTAGGCATTTTACGAAGATTTTCCTTATAATTTACTCGATTCATTAAACTGCTAGTTTAGTTCTCTTTATGCATTGGTACTACAATCCTCGGAGAGTGACCCCTCCCCAAGGAAACCACCTAGCTCGGTTTAGGCCCCTGAGCAGTATTCTGTCTCTCACGAAAATCAAATGATTTGTGTGGCGGTTCTTTCTTGTCCCAAAGGTTACGTGTTTAACTAATAAGACGCTAGTAATTGGTGATGACTCAATGGCGTATCCCAATAGGATTTCTTGTTTATAATCTCACCAAACCGTTTAACCTTTATATGATATATATAACCACAGCTACATGATATGCTTATCGAATGACTAGGCTTTAATACGTTTTAAAATGTATTTATATTAAATTCAATGTTTAATTTTTAATTTTACAGAAAGTCAATCTAATTGTCACTGTTGTTGACTATGATCGTATTGGAACATCTGAACCAATAGGTCGAATTGTATTAGGTTGTAATGCAACTGGTGCAGCACTTCGTCATTGGTCTGATATGTTAGCTAATCCAAGACGTCCTATAGCACAATGGCATACATTACAGGATATGCCAGAAAAAAATTGAATCTATTCTTTTTTCTTTAAAATAAATCAAAGAAACCTTTTCAATATTCAACTATGTTATATCACACCGTATAGCCTTTATGTAATTTGAATGTTTACTGAACAAATTTTGCTTATATTAAATGAGATTGAAAATTCATTATCAAAGCAAACTGTGGATATCCGTATAAAATTTGCTTATAAACTATATACTATAGTCGTTTATTTATTGTAACCAACTCCATGTTTGAATCATCAATAATCAGCATAACAAAAACTTTATTATGGATGTTGATTTAAACAATGAATGTAGTAAGTGATCACACATTTTGATGAAGATTTGTACTCTGAGCTGATTAGTTTGGTCATGAAAACTTGATCATCAACACAAACTTCAACTAGAAGTGAAGTGCTCGAATAATGATGAAAGCTTTACGATCAAACTATCCACCCTTAAACTACAAGTCTTCTCCACCATCTTAATCACCATACACAATAATACTTGGTAATGTAATGATGACAATGTCATTCATTCAATGATTATTGATTTAATTAATATTCAAAACTTATTATTTGGCTTCTTTTTGCATTTATTTTCATGGTTTTTTCACAAAAGTATTGATTAGAAACTGAGTGTTGTAAAACCCGCCAAAAAGATTTTTTAAAAATTTGATTGATTTAAACAATCATTTCATACTATATCTATAATTTATATACAGCTTGATTTGAATTGAGTTTTGTTTAATTCTTCTTCTCATGTATTTATATTTGCATTGTAAAGCTTCTTCTCAATAATTATAATATATGTGAATAATTTTATCAAGAAATCAGTAATCGTTTCATTGATAAATTGTTAAAGATTAGTAGATAGATGTGGAGATCACTAGACTTTGTAGTTCAATAATGATGGATTTTGAAAGAATCGGACCAACTGACAAAACTTTCTTCAAACACTCAAACTCAGGATCTTCGGTATCGCGAGCGGTCTCAAACCCCTAAACCACTTAGTCAGCATCCAATAGTGTCAATGCCAAACTACAATGAATTCATAATATTTCATAACTCTTCGTCCATTGTTTGAGGTATATAAATGTCTCATACCTGACACGAATTAGACTTCACTTACATGAAGTTATGAACTCAATGGTGAATATAATACAATCCTCGCAATTCTTTATACTGATAAAAACCTATTTTGTAAAATCACTAATCAAATCACAAGTGAAAAACGATTTAATAACCATTATGTATTGGATGATTATTTGAGATATTTCAATGGAATACAACAAACGATTGAAGCCAAGTTATTCAAGCCTCATAATGATTAAGAACATTTGATTAAATTCGGTAAATAGATCAACGGACTTTACGTGGTTGTGATTGAAACTTGCTAATCACGAGACCTTAAATTGAAGGAATCATTATTACCATAGTGATGAAAGTATTTCAGCGCATTCAGATATTCGTCTACTGACCAGATACAACATTAAAACAACCAATATTACAGGTAGTCATCCATGTACTGAAATGAGGTTCATCTAATTACGTGGTATTTTAGCTTGCAGAACACAACACACTTCCGTTTTGTTCATCACGTTTGTTAGATGAAACTGTCCTTATCGGTTACCTAGTTAAGTGTTAATATCAAGCAGACATTCTGGATTGTTAGTTGAACAATAACGATTAAAATACAATTTAAATAAAGTCGGAGAAGAAAGATTACTGAAATCTAAATGATACACATATTGATGTTTAGTGTTCGGTGTTTGGAGGAATTATTGAGTTTCATAAGTTGTACCATGAACTGACCTCAGTAAGACAATTATTAAAAGCAGGAGGCTCTGCATGGCTGTTTTATTCTAATATGAAACTGTGTGTAATGGATCAACCTTTTACTTTATAAGAGATAAAATCTAGGAACTTCATATCTCACAACAGGCACTTAACCACTAACTCAGTCGGGATAAAACTTCGTACATTTTTATTTTTGAAAACTCATCATGTCCTTGGTGTAACTGTTTAACTTGAAATTGTTGGACTCGAGAGATCAATACAACTCATCAGAACTCTGCTGGTTGTCATTGATCCAATTACTAGTGGATACGTGATGAAATCACAGTATTACAAATCAATAGAGATACGATCAACAAAAGTTCACTTCAATGCTGACTGGTATCATACTTATCGAGACAATAAGGGCTGGTTTATTCATTTATGCGTTAAACTGATAAATGAGTCTGCCTAAAACGAACCGAATAAAAATGACATATCTGCCCAGTGTTTCCATCACTTACAAGCAATTCAACTACTTCTGTCAGCCCATAACAATTATTTTTTTTCCCATTCACTTCAATTCTATCTTTCCAACCTTCTACTGTCACACATTCCACTTCTTGTAGGTGTTAAATACAATATATGTCTGTCAGCATAAGTAGCATACATCGGAATGGGGTTTTAAAATAATATTTTATTGAAACTGGAGGCTCCATTACTTTCACTCTACCACCGCGGAATCTAGCAAATGGAAGATTTGAGTGGACCTCGAGAAATGGATAATGGGCGAAAATTAAGTTGTAGAACGGTTAATAAATACAAATAGCAAGCCAATTCATGTGGCATTGATTCTCCATTGATTATAATAATTTTGAAATATAATATTTATGCCCAGATGCAGCCTAGAGAAACATGAAATATCAGTTACTATTGGGGAAGGTAAGTCAAACAATAGTGTTTGGAGGACCTTGAAACAATTTCGAAGCATCAAATTAGTAACTCAAGATGCTAAAAAATAAAATTATTAAGAATTGTGACCACCTGAATGAACACCTTAGCAGTTAGCTATTTGATTCCAACTAGCATAAATCTTTAGGTTATAGTGAAGAAATTCAGAAATCATAATACCTATTACTTAGTCTTCTTGTTAACCAGTATTCGGTGTATGAGTGACCAAATATATATAGGCTTTATTTGGCTCTTAATATAACTAGTAGTGAAATCCAAGATTTCGCAACCTGTCGGCTGGATGCTCTCTCATGTAATGTTGATGTTAATACTGAAAATCAGGTCTAATATATATCACTTGAAAAACCATCAAATTTACTGAGTCCGAAAAGCTAATAGCATACTTACTTTGCATAAAATTATGCGTACGTGTTTGTTTGCTAATTCTATGAACTGAGGACGGATAGCTATCTCTGGTGAACTTACGTTCTCTGAGCTGAATGGTCCACCTTAGAAGCTTTCATCATTCGTCTAAGCAAATTTGTCAGGACAAACTTCAGGTGAGAATCACATATTCGAATTTCTCCACGCGTGATTGACGGCTTGTCCTCTCCACCTTTGTCGTGATCAGAAAGTGAAAATCTTTGATCCGTCAATGCCCAGATACTTATTTCACTTATCTCTCTCTCTGAATAATTATTGATTCTTCTATTTGTCTATGGTTTTTCTCACCAGTTGAAACTTGAACCGATTTACATGTGTTTGTGGATTGCGAATTGATTTGAGGACCAAGCTCCTAAAAATTCTCTGATGTTCTTAGTATTTGCCTTATTCACATTTTTAACATATCCATAGTCAAATGTGAGTCCTGAATTATCCGGCTGCACTGAACCAAGTGAAGATAGACAAGGAGATTTGAGAACTAGTCAACCTTGATGCAGACGAAGATGAGGAGAGCGTCCATTCTGACCGATGTACTAATACTCTAGTATGGGACCGTCTATTTTATATGTTTTTTTATTTTTCTTCATTCGTCAGTTTATTATTTGGTTTGCATACAAATAATCTGGGTAATTTAACTGATTTATGTGCTACACCGAATTTAAACCGCCTTAATAATCTTGGTAGTGTTATTAGGAGGAAAAATCAAAGCTTTCTGCTTAAAACATCCATATCAGAGATGAAAATTCGAATTAAAATCACCTACTCCAGCTACAATTCTGTATCAGCTCTTGATTAGCCTCTATGAGTTAATGTCCATCGTATTATAATAAGGGGATTGTGTATCTCCCTGTTAAGAACCGTTAGTTTAACAGAGTTAATTAATAATACTGACAGATACAGCTTTATGTCTCCGAATGTCAGACTAATATTTACTAAGCTATTGAGTTTGGACTCGTCAAAATTTCAATATGAAGGAAAAAGCCCAGAAACCACAGATGTTAGTAGAGACTGATCAATTGCAGTATTTAACAAGTACAACAGCAAGAAAATGATACAAACTCTTACAGACGTTGTTGTGTTTTGTTGTGACAATGAACCAAAGATTTGAAGGCGTCATATTTTTCAGGCATTAATTATCCTCAAGTGAAATCAAATTCAAAATAATTATTATTTAAACAACGAAACCCCTGACAATACCATATTTATGGGACAAGAATGCTTTATTCAGGAAGAGAGTGAGTTTTCAATTATACAGAAAGATTGACGACGCTGACCAAATATCAAGCCACAACTCCAGTTGATCGAATGCTTCTTAATGTGAAGTATGTGAAAAACGTATTAACCCAAACCGAAACTGATCACACCATTCTCAAAGCACAAAAGTTTAAAGTAATTCATCTCATATCGACCCTGTGTAAGAATATCTACTGGCACAAATTCATTAGGTTTTCGGCGAATAAGCAAACCGTCATAAAACCAAATGGCCTAAACCAGATCTTTCTTCCTTATATGAAATATGTCCCAGAATTTACCATCGCAATTTTATAACACTTTGAAATAAGCATTAATCAAAACCACTGTTTACTAGCTGAAAGATTCAACAAAGGGTGAACACAGAACGATTTATATAAACTTTAAGAAGTCCCACAATGGTCAAGGTAAACACTTTCTTGATATTTATAGAAAGAAACGTTGGTTGGCGGTGAATACTTGCAATACACTGTCAATTATACCAGTCGTTGATGACAACTATGGATTTTTGATTGGGAAAAATTCAAGAGCCATAGAATATCAATATAGTTCCAGATTATTAATCCAGGAGATGAATGTCACACAGTCGGACGTCAAAAAAGACAG